CTAGTAGCAACGGTTGTCTATAGGTTACTAGCGAAAGCTTTACCAGTGTACACTGGTCTTTACCAAGGACAAACCTCTAAGCAATAGAAACAAACTTGAAATTTCTATTTCTCTACGTGAGCGTAATTTGTTTTTTTATATTCACTTCATTTAATGTTGGTTTGCAAAATTAAGCTAATAAACAGCTAATTGGGGGGGGGGGGGTGGGGTACATGATGTAGACAGCGCAACGAAATTTAACCCAGTGGGGCTAAGAGTCGAGTTTAGTGAGGTAGGAGGACCCACCATGGTTGGGTCCGACGTGAAGAAATTTTTTGAAATTATACCTTGTAAAAAGGGCTAAAAAGCATCTTTCAGACAAAAATTTAGCAAAATATTATTGCGCTAAAAGAACTGATTGTTTATTGAAAATATTATTGTTTATTGGGAAAAATAGGGAGGGGGATGTCATGCTAAAACTCTAGTGTTAGACGTTGGGGAAGGAAAGGAACGACAACCTTTCGTTTCAGATTGCACGTAGTTGTGAATGACAGAGGAAGATGTTGTTTTGATTGGGAGAATTTTTTTCCTGAACAGAAATGTGCAGTTTTTTGTATCAAGAAGGCCATATTTACACATCCAAAATTAAAACATTGCAATGATACAGAAAATGATTTACTGAATTAATGCAAATAAAAGAAAAATAATAAAAATATACGTGAATAAGTTAGCAATTAGATCAAACAAAATCGGCATCTAAAACGTTTATTCTCTTTTTATTTCATACACTGTTAAAAAGTTATAGAAAAAATGATAAACAATTCTTATCTTGACAAAAGTGGAGGCCTTCAGCCCCCTATTCCCCCCAGTGACGCCGCGCTTGTCATGAAAATAATTTACAACTTAAATTAATTTGCATGACTCAACCTTGCCCTCATAAACATATGCATCAATCATTGCATCCATTGGCTATGACTTTCGGTAAGAAATGTTTTCGCTTTGCAAATAACGGAGCTTTTCCTTACATACCTGTTCCGTTCTCTAAAATGCAATGTCAGGAAGGGAGGTTCATAACAAATACAATATTTCCATTTCAAAATTCCTAAACGGCTCTTTACGAACTTCAGAGGTGGCATTTCTGCGTGGCAATAAAGCTCTTCTTGGCGCCCTGCGAAATCTTCGATTGCCCTGCGAAATCGACTATTTTTTGGATTGGGGGGGTGTCACACCCCCCCACACCCCCCCGGTAGTTTCGCCCCTGAAAGCACATGTTGTCATATGAATACAAATAAGGCTAAATTTTGCAATCCTTGATTAAATATTCTAAGATTGAAATATAAATGAAAGAATTTTCATAATAAAAATGACATTCTATCGGTGGTCAAGTTTACAATCTATATGATTCCAGCCTGATTATTTGCTCTTGAAATAATCAAAATCTTTCCAAAATAAATCTACCAAGCTCGAAAAGTATCTTCCAAGATCCACTGTGGTCTTTGATCAAGCAGCATTATCTGTGTTCCTAAATTTAAAGCTACAAGTTACACTTTAATCTGCCTATATATCCTATTCCAAAGCATGGTGATTCTTTTGATAATCAATGAAAATGGTTAATTGGACCAACTTTCGTATGTAATCAAGATATAGATGGGCGTATCAAACATTTGGTGAGGTGACAGCAGTATGTGATGCCCTCAAATCTAGATAGCTTATTGGCAAAATGGCATAAATAAAGTGGGGATAACTTTGTCTTCAAAGATTTCTTTGTCAGAATACTTTACTTTCCACACCAACCCGCTCATGGTCATGAAGACAAGGTAACATCATTAATAGTACCCCCTATGTCCTACAGATCTATTTGCCCTGAATCAATTCACTTTGCAAAAAAGTTTGAAATGAGAGAAGTACAAAAACAAAAGTTTGAAAAAATTTTAAAACTCAATTTACAAATTTTCATTTAGTTATAAAGCACAAATTTTACAAGCTCATTATCCACCTAGAGAAGTTATTTCTACAATAAAATCTAATAAAGCAGGTCCTTTGATATAAGACAGGTTTTGTTGCAAAGGACCATAAATGGCGGTTGAATCACAGAAAAACCAAGTAATTATCAAAACATAAATCCTGTTACAGTATCTTCTATCAGTGCATGAAGGCTTTATCCTAATGATATACTACACAATACACAAAACAAACAAACAATGTACAAAAAACTTCTATGCAAGATGTTGCAACAATGATAAATGGCCTAATTCTTTTGCAAGTTCTGCTGGGGTAATCGGAGGTGAGTTCCCCATTACTGCAGATTTGTCAGCACCATTGGCAATCAGCAATTTCACAATAGATTCATTACCTAAAGGAAAAACAACAAACCTTGCATTAAATCTAAACTGAGCACTTCAAGAACAATTTTTTCTCTACAAAACAGTTAGAATGAGTGTGATATTTTGATAAAGTGTACTTAGCACATATATAAAATGTTTCAATAAGCAATGTGTCCCTTTGCTGATACTTAATAGGAACAAATGTGTTCTGTGTAAATAAATTTTGAATTTAATTTTAAAAACTGATAGGCTAACGATTCTTTCTGTATTTTTTTACAGCATGACAACAATCATTTTTCAATCATTTACCAAAAGCAAAATCATTATTAAAAAACAAGAAATTATGATTTAACAATTGCATTAATTATGTTGACATAAAAAATGTTACACCAGTTGTTTCTTACATCAGTTTAACATCAGTGATTCAACACATAGTGAAAGTAAAAAGCCATTTCCATATCAAAATTCGAGCAAACTTGCCTGTAATAACAGCCATGTGTAAAGGTGTTGCATCATCAACTTCAGAATTTGGAGTATTCACAGAAGCTCCTTTTTTAAGCAACAATTCAACTACCTTGATTTTTTCATTATTTACCGCAATGTGAAGAGCAGTACTGCCAGTCTCTGATATTCTATCTAAATCTGTCTCCTTTGAAGCCTAAAAATAATTTTCTTGATAATTCAAAGTATAACAACAATGTTTATTAAATGGTTGGCTTCATACCTAACTGTTGATTCAACTGTGTGTTTCTGTTCAAACCAAGGATGACTTTTCCTTCTAGAGTGCACAAAAGACTGAATACAAAGCTAAATGCTATAGTTTGATGCAGGTATACATGATGTCATTGAACAAATTTTTCACTTTGATTGTATTGATAATAACAAACTGCTTTACAAAATCATTAGATTTGGGGCATGTGACCAGGCCTGCTGGAATATCTAAAAGACAGTCAAGAAAATACCAGGGGATCCTGTAAGCATTGTCTGTGAAGATTATAGAAAAAACAAAGCCCCATAACAAGTTGACAGGCTTCTAATATTTTATCAATAATAAATACCTTCTGTATAAAGTCTGCAAGAATCCTTTCACTTCCATATATGGCAGATTTAAAAATGATTTTATCCATTATCTCTTGGCTTTTATCAAGACCATGCAAAAGGTACTCCAAAACCTCAAGATAATCATGCTCCAGTGCAGCATCAAGCCGTGCTTCTTTTAGATCACTGATTGAAGAAAGAGTTTTCATGGCTGTACCTTCTTCTCTTTTTTCTTCTAACTGACATAGATTTTTGTAGAAATAAATAACACCGTTTGCTAAACTAACAAGACTGAAGGCCCTCATTCCCAGCAACCACTGAATATGCTGTTTGTTTTGAGTAGATAAGCTCACATCACTTAAAAGTTGCCGAAAACTTTCATCTTTACCACAGCAAAATGTTTCAATGGTTCGAACAAACCATATAAGCCCCTTACGACCAAGCATTTTTGATGGATACTCTCTAAGTATCACATTTAGTAAATCATTCAAATGAACAATTTTCACTTTTTTATCACGAATTCCTACACCAAATGCTACATGAAGCTCATCGAGAATAAATGAAGTTTCCATTTCAAAAAGCTCTTTCCTTTTTTTGTAATGAAATTTGGTCATGAGAAAATTTGCAAGAGAGACAAAGTTTTGTTCAGTCCTCAGCCACATGGATATTTCTTTTAGTTGTACATTGCAATTCTCAAGCAATCTGCTCACTACAGTTGCGTCGATATACTGTAGCATATTCTCTATTTTCTTAGCCCTTGTCACCTCTACTTCGTCAGTCTTTTTCCTGCAATTAGCGGCTTCATAAACATTTTTTCTATTTAGATTCATAGAGCCAAATTTATCGAATCCTTCTGTCGATGAAGGTGAATGTAATTCACAGTTTAGGGAAGATGGTGGGCGTCTTACTCCGCCGACAGCTGACTTTGGTCGACCCACAACAATTTCTCTGCTCGAGCTAGATCTGGCAGATCTTGGACTTTTCACTGATGCGACAACATTTTTCTTCTCAGAATTATTTCTGGTGATGGTAGACAATATTTCGTTGTTATTACTCGTCAATTCCTTAAACAGCGTTGCCTGACCGTGTTGTTGTGATGCTGGGTCGGTGTGCCGCCTATCATGGCTTTCATCGTAGTCCTGGCCACTTTCATCGGATTCCTGATCACTTCCACTTGATCTGACAGACAGACGAGAAATGCATATTAATTCTCTCAGGTCCTTGACACTTCGGCTCATGTTTCATTGCGATGATAAAAAGTTTACTTCAACTATCTCAGCAAAGTATTTTTGAGAGTTATTCGGCCATATTGATTCTTGGGCAAAAACCCTCCTTTTCGCTTGAAGAGCAAATTGCGAAAGAGGCCATCGATGCGATCACAGTGGAGATGAGGCAGGAAGATTTTTTGCAGAAGTTCATATTTATAACATTAATCAAAATATTAATTAGGTCCATGGCCTATCCCTTATACTATCATGTCTCTTTATTGTACCAAATGCAAACTATAAAATTATCGGATATAGCGAAAGCATTCACATACGTATATAGAGGAAGCACATGACGTCATCGTCATCTACCTCACAGTTATGCATTTTGGTATCCTTTTTGAAAATTTCAACTTTTAGGTCTGACATTGATCAGAGCAAATGAACGATTGACTATGAAACAGATTTGTTATCATGCAATTTTTTATCATGCATGGATGAGATAATAAAAAACGAAGATTAAGCACCCCCTCGGATAACATCTCAAAATTGACACTTTTCAATACTAAGGCGATGTGAATTGCTTACGACGGCAAATCACATTTGTTTATGGTAGAACAACTAAATCGGAATTTGACACAACTAGGGCAAGAACTGCGATAAATACAATGGCGGCCCATGTCATTAAGATTGTAAATTCCTCTGTAGCTCATGGAAGGTCTATTAATAATCGACAAAGGTCAGTCTTAAATTTTCTCTATTCTAAAGAAGCTTCACGACCAAAAAATTAAAGAACAGCCTGTTTCTACCATCAATTTTTCGCTGGTTGGCCCTACCTGAGGGATTGGAAATGAGCCAAAGGAATTTAAATGTCAAAAATGCTTCATAAAGAGGGCTTTTGGTGCTAGAGGTGTCATATTGTGTATTTACATTTCATTTTTACTTTATTCAGTTACTCTGTTAACAGTAGATACTTGATTATTTCTTATCATCAACCAATTGTCAGAGTTTAAGCTCTTTTTCCAAACTTTCTTGAGCCAAGAGGTTCAACTTAATGTAGATTCCGTAATCTCTCTTCATGTGAAACTACCTTTTTGGCTTTTAATATTACTTCTTTTTAATTACATCTGTAGTTCAAATTTCTTGCGAACCTCAATTTTTCAGATTGTCGGTTATCTGATAGCAAACATTGTCAAATGCTTAAAAATATTGCATAATTTTGTAAGTGCTCTTAGATTTTAAATAAATTCTTGGAAACATATCCAGAATGTGGAATGCATTGCATGGTTTAAGTAATAAATATTTCGACAAATGACCCAAACTTGTAGTGCTTATTGCTGTTATTTTTAAGAGAATACCAAAAATTGCAAAAGTGACCCTTTATCGCACCAATTGTGAAAAACCTTTAATGTGCTATGATAAATTTAACTGATTTTTAAAGAGAAGTAGCAGCAGTGGACAAACTGTCACCTCCAATCAAAGTTCTAGAATTTTTACAAGCTGAATGATAAGATCGCCTTTTCAAATTTCAATCTATCTTCCATTACAAAAGCAGTAAATATAGCTCAGTTAATACTTGGCTACGGTTAATTATGAAATAGTATTAGAAAAATCAAAACAATATGGACCTTTATTGTTATTATTATTATTATGGCTGGTTACCTTTATTATTATTCCAGCGCAAACAATGTTTTATGTGAACGATAAGGTCTCATAATTTGAGTCCATAACTTGTTGAGGACTACAAGGCTCCTATATGGGACACCCCCAATTCTTCATGAGAAATCTTCAGTTGTCGATAAGATAAGACGTACCCTTAGTTCCATGTTTGAATGCTAAAAAAACTACAATCTTTCAAGTATTACGTACATTAGACTATTACGTTTAAAATCATCAGGTAGAAAGTTTAACATCATAAAATAATTAAAATTATCATTAACGTTTACAGGTTTCAAGATCCATAAAATTCCTCTTCGTCATCCGTCACTTTCACAACATTTACAACAATTACAGAGATGTGCCCTCTAATTAAGAGAATGCAGGATACAACCCTTTTATTTGGGGGTAAAAAATCTTCTCTGAACCAGGCTGTTTATAAAAATTCAATAGAAATAAGCAAGTATTTTCTAATAGGGGCGTTTTCCGGCGTTCAAGAGGGCGCGGCCTCAAAAATTTCCGGTCACACCCATTTCAGCACCTCCACTCCGCTAGATGGAACAAAACTGCCCCTCAAAGAGAACAGCCTCCTCGATCTTGTAGGTCTAGAAACACTGTTAAAACAAGTGATTCTGCCATTGGTCAACATCTTTTAGACAACCCAGATTGTGCAAAACTCTATAATGACGACATGTTTCGGATAATTGGCAGAGCCCGGTTGTTCCTTCCATCTAGCAGTTTTGGAGTCAATCTACATAAAAACGAAAAAGCCGCCATTGTGTAGACAAAAGGAGTTCGTTTTCTCTCTTGGACTCCATTGGTAATTTTTCTTTAGGCTCGCGGCACTGATTGGTCAAATATACCGGTCTTGTGCTTGCGTTTTTCTGATTGGCCTATTTCGATCCACAACTGGGTATATATTTTTCCATCGTGTTTTTTCGGAACCTATTCTGACGTTTTATGCTCTGAGGAGTGTCAGACGAAAAAGCTTTAAGTATGTTGTAAAATGTTTGCTTTTTTCAAAGCCATTTTCAAATTCTGTACCGCAAAAAAATTGTTCACATATGTTATTTTAACATAATCATTCTACTAATGTGGTCAAAATCAAAAGTTTTATAACAAACGAGGTCATCACTTTGTCACCCGTTTCACGTGATTGCCGACTGCCCAAAACCCGGAAGAAGTAAAAATCTTGATTCCCCCAAACGAGGTTGTTGATACAACAAGGAAGGCTTCGAGTTTTGAGTTTGGAGTGATATCATAGCATACCGTTGCACGGCTCTTAAAATTCGCTCAAGGTATGTTCGAACTTTAAATTTTGATTGAAAACGATACCTTTTATTCGAAAATTGACCTGTTTTGCTAGATATAGATTTTTGCTAGATAAAGGTTCAACAAAGACGACCCGAGAAATCAAGAAAAGTCGAGAAATCAAGAAAATTTAGTTTGGGCCTATATTATGTACAAGATGGAAACATAGAAGTTTCATCCAGCAGTATTAGACCATTCTGTGCTGTGGTACATTTTTAACAGCGGATATAGCTAAAGCAAACCATCAGCCCAAAATTCTTCAAAATGACTCGGCTATATTTACTAGTTGTAAGATAATGATTTATTTTGATAATGTTTTATATATATATTTAGACTGATTACTAAAGGCATGACTGAAGGCGTAATTACTATTACAGTACCATCATTACCATCATTTAACAGTCGATTAAACAAATGGTTGTCAGCTAATTTTCAAAAAAGGTTTTTTAGATCAATTAAAAGTTATTTTATAATTTCCTGAGCTTCAAGGGTACATAGTTGCAATCAAACAAGTGTCATGATCCTTGCCGTTATCCTATTTGTATGTGTCAACAACCCATATCATTACGAGCCATTGTTCTACTTGTATGTGTCAGCAACCCATGTCAACAACCCATATCATTACGAGCCATTGTTCTACTTGTATGTGTCAGCAACCCATGTCAACAACCCATATCATTAATGTCATTACATGCCACATTAACCAGGGATATACAAGTAAGGGTTAGAGTACCGGAGTTCAGCTCTTGATCAGAATCAGAGTTACAAAATATGCGTTTTGATCATTCTACTTCTCTCTCTGCTCGCAGGCACAAACATAACACAAGCATATCCACAGGCCAGAAATTGTTTAAAAATTGTTATTGCAAATTAATATCGAAACTGAATTTGGAAACAAATTCATTTCTGGTTTTGCCATGTATTATTTAAATGAAAGTCAAAGAACTTTATAGTATTTTCAATTTCTGATCGATTTGGGAACATAAATTTCCTATGTGAAATTTGAGAAAAAGCCAGTGTAGAATCCATGTAGACCTCACACTGGATCTTGGCCAGTTAATTATGACGCTTTGCTGAAAGCTCTACATCTTAATGCTTACACCAAAAATTTGTATGATACAATGCATAATGGAAACCTTTTATATTCATCACCATTTTCACCAACAGCAGTTGTTTGTAAGTCATATGCTGAAACAAATACAGGCAGAAATCCTATCAATCTTGACAGTAACGCATAATTTTTTTCTACATTATACGCCAGTTGCCAAGGAAAGTCCATGCCAGATATCTCCCTCATAAGTTATATGGATTCCACCCTGAAGAAAAAGGGCTTCCTTTAAACTAGGTACATCAGGCCAAAAGCTTTGAATTCTACTTTGTTGCCTTTTCATGATGAAAGGTATGTCCTATGGTTACTAAACTGACAAATTTTGAAAACAGTATGTGTAAATGATACTTGTATAATGTGGATTTACATTTTGTGTCTAGTAAAAACTTGGAAATCTTTCATCTAAAGTCTTTTTGTTACTTAATTTCTGATATCTTTAGACCCCAGACCTTTGTTTGCAAGGATTAAAAACCTCATATTTGACCCCTGACCTTGAATTTAAATTTCTACTTTTAAAATCTTAATCCACAAATTACAAAATGTTCAATTAAGCTGCTTAATGCAATCTATGCCCAAGATATCTTGGATGACTTAGTTACATCTCTGCCCCTTCCTGAGTGACATATTTCCCAGAGTACTTTCACATATTAAATATAAGCAACAAAGCAAAGGTTCCTTCCTAGTATTATATTAAATAATGGATATTTTTACAAATCATGAATATTTGGATAAATGTGTACGTTGCGTGTGGTACTTTATCCAGAATAATGATAAACACAGTTACTGATAGTACGTTTCAAGCATGTACTCGTTATCAAGTGGCTTCCTCCCATTCCCATATTCAGTTTTTTTTCGGTTGCATCGCATCTCGCATTCTTTTCTATATATTGAATCTTATCTTCTCTTTGCTCGGCTCGTTTCTTTTCTAGCCACTTGATAATGAGTACATGCTCGAAATGTCATGTTTTTAACAATCAAACTATTACATTTTCATTCTGGTACTAAATTTATTTGCTAACTGTATTATCATTATTATAAATATTTGGAGACTGAATATTTTCCTTGCAGATGCATTTTCTTGCTAGTTTGGCATTTTCAGTCACATTTTTCTTGCTAGTTGAAAGCAGAAATTTGTCTACGTAAGTTCAGTTTTAACTAGTTTAGTATTTAGTTGATCTTCTAAAACATCAAGTTTATCTACTGAAGTCAAATTTTTTAATTACTATAATAATTTAGAGATCAATGTTATTGCTAACTTAGTTGTTTCAATCTAGCTATGTTATAAAAGGCTATGACCTGCCAATTTTCTAGCACATACAATAAGAAATTGTCAAGCAGCTAAGCTTTTTTTGTAAGCTGTTTTGTAAAAAAATTTAAGCTTAGTTTCTGCACTTGAAGCAAACAGTTAGGAAACAATCACAATGAATACAAACGATGAAAAATGTAGTTTTATGATATTTAATCTAAGTTATTGGTTGATTGTCATGAAACTTTAGAGTAAACAAAAAAAATCTCAAAAATTTTACACAGTTAATTTCTGAAGTCTCTTGCCATTGAAATAGATGTTAGTATCAAATGACTTGTTTTGCTAGCATGTATCTATTGATTTAAAAAACTTTATATGAGATCCCAAGTGTTTAAATAAAAGATATGGATGTGCAAAACTATTAAGAAACAGAAAGTACAAAAATTTGATCTAGAATTAAGAAATGAGAGTACTCAATGTTAACCTTCATATCTTATAAGATTGACTGTCTAATGAATTCACGTGTATTGATTATTTTGCATCAGGGCCTTTTTTACATACTTACTAGGGGGGGGGGCAATTACCCCTGCAACCGAAGTGGCTTTCCATTGTTTTAAACAATAGGCTATAGCCCCTTTCTTTTTATAAACAAAGGTTTGCCCCCACAGCTAATTTCCCTTGGAAATGGCTATGTTTTGCATGGATCATCAAAGAGATTGTTTAAGGACCTATAATACAATTAATTTCTCAAAACTAAGTCCCCCTCTAATATTGGACAGGAATGAAGCTCATTAAAAGCACCCACAAATCTTGCACAAAACTTAATGGCACTTCGGGTCAGAAGTTGTAAAACTTAATTTGTTACCAGTGATTTTTTGTTGAATATGAGACTATTATACCCTCTGATTAACATTCTATAGTCTACAGTTCCATCTCTTTTTTCATAAATAGTGAACACGTTGGCCCCATCCTCAGACATTGGCCCACATTAAGCTCATGGACTTCACATTAGACTTATATTCTCTTCCGTTTTTGTACTTTTCCATACTAAATTTGAGAGCCAGTTCAGTGAACTAAGATAAAATATAATTGTAAATGTTCATCCATAAATTTGAGTGTTATTTCCTCCTTCCACTATTTTTTGGATTGTGCCGGTGTTGGTATTTCCCTACTTGGTTGTTTGCACATGTTTTTATATTAGATTTCTTCAGGAAAAGATACAGAAAGTTATTTTAAATTCTCTTTTACATGACACAGTGGTGAAAAACAATGGGATCATATCATATTTACCCAGCAGTGGCCAGAGTCAGCATGTGAACATGTCAATGTGAGGTTTTTTGAGATTGCTACAAATCATTATGAATGCTTATTCTTTTGACTTAAAATATTTAATATTCATTTTGATATTACGTGATCAGGTGGCGCAAAGCATTGGGGAAAAAGTGGGGGGGGGTCTAAGAAAGTGTGCAAGTGGGGGGGGGCCTAAAAAGTGCGCAAGTGGGGGTCTAAAAAAGTGCACTGGCTAACGCCAGTAAAAAAGTTTACTGGTGGTTCTCTTCTTGATATTTTGCATCTCTTGCAAAAAGTGGGACCCTAAAGCCCCCAGCCCCCCTGATCCACGGTGCTTGATGATAAGTCTTACTGTTGGAAAATGAAACAAGAGATTTTTAGATGTACTTGCCGCAACCCTGTCAAAATAGTCTTTGTCTATGATTTCCCTGTGAATTCCATTGCCTGTTCGTTTCTCGATTATTTTATCGCAGCGGTGTCCAAATTTTTCGTTGCTGGGGGCCCCTAACGGTTGGGGGCCCTTAGTTTTTGAACTAAAGGTAACTTTAGTCCGTTACGTCACTGGATGGTGGTTACTGCTAAATGACTAACTTTCGTTCCATTGATTTTCTTTTGGTATGTAGTGTTTAATTTCACATTGGAATATTTCCTTTCAATTAAGGCATCTGGACAGCATTCATGTGAAATTCCAAGTTCTACAAATGCATGGGCTGTTCATGGCATTTGGCCCAGCATGGGTGATACCAAAGGTCCAAATTACTGCAATGAGAGTTGGAGTTTTGATCCATCCAAAATCCAGGTAGGATTTTTTGAATTTTTTTATTGGATCACATTATTTGAGTTGGTTGCAATTGGTAGTGTAGACTAGGTGACCAACGTTGGCTTACCTGCAACATGTTGTGGAGCATCAGGTTTTGCTTTTTTCACAAGACCTGTATACTATTCTTGGTCGTATCTACTAAAAAAATTTGTGGAACCATAAAAATTTGACGTGGTCAAAGCTCTCTTTCCGTTATTTAATTAGAAAACAGTTTGTTTTTCAATTGGATATTTTCTAAAGGCGTGTGATTGATGGAAAAAAGTTTTTAGACACAGTAAAAGCCTATTTCTCTCTCTCTCCTTAACGCTTGTCAAATGGACTAATAGCACACCCGATTATGGCGAGTGTCTTGAAAAGAAAAATTTGGTAAAAATTGTAATTGAATCATTCCATTTATATTTCAATTTCTATAGACCACACAGTTCTTTGTCAACTGTTTTTAAATTTACGCGTAGAAATTTTGAAAGATAATGTACTTTGTGACGATCATTCCACGAACACAGATCACGAAATCTGCCATGTTGTGGTAGCAGTTGCTAAATATTTTGTTTATTTTGAATTTGTTTCATTTTTAAGGGGATTCTGTCAGAATTGAAGGCTGAGTGGCCAAATTTATATACAGACACAGAACTGTACAGCTTTTGGTGAGTTCTCTTAAATCATACGTTGATAATTTTTAGACAAGAACTTACTGTAGTTGTTGGATGCCAGATGGTACAGAGACTGCCGTCTTAACAATTGAAAAGAAAGCATATTCTACTCCTTGCTACGTTTCATTAGAATCAGGAGATGTAAGGATGCAATAGAACGTTAGGGCTAAACATGGTATCTTGAAAAATATTACACTGTTCCTTCATGTTTTTCAAGCTAGGACTTAACTTGAAAGTTAGAAAATTGCCCCCAAAGCTTCTTGAAATTTGGTATTTTGTATATAGAGATTGTATTTAACTGGTTTCAAACTAATTATTGAGTATGCAGGACTTTTATATAGTGAGTCTGGTACCCAGGGTAGGCTCCGAACAAAGGATGTTCTCGTTGTGGTAAAGGTCGCCGCCATGTGTGTATCTGTTAAAGTGCAATGTTTGTGGCGCATAGTATGCTGATACCACAAACACGCTATTTACTCCTAGGTTTGATAATAAGGAAGCATGTTGTCGTCAGTTTCTCAGACAAAAGTCATGAAAACTTTTTGTTGATAAAGGCCACAGTGGTAATCGGGGGAGTGGGGGAATATGTCAAGCTATATACCCCAAATAAACCTAGTTCCCTTTTGGTTTGTGCTTTTGTCTTTTTATGTATTTCTTTATCTTTCCCTTTTTACATTAAAGTGTTTCATTTCTTTATACTTCTTTTAAGTTATTTCTTCTTGTTTCTCTCCGGACGCAAATTTCAAGTAGCCACCGCAAGATCATCCCCAGCAGCTCTATCTCACTAAGCTTTATGAAAATAACTGAATGTTTTGTACATGCTAGCTTGGTCCGGTTTTTGTAGGTTTCTGTAGTGATAACAATCTAAACAATACATATATTTTTCTTCATATTTGTATAATAAAACTCGTATTGGAACTTTTGAGATTATATGTATACACACTTATGTATTTATTATAAATTGATTTTAGCACTATTCAGTGTTGATAAATGGCATAATTTTTGGTGAAATGCATTTTTTAATCAAAGGGAACATGAATGGGTGAAGCATGGAACTTGTGCTGCAAGTCTTGACTCCTTGAGGGGCGAAATGAAATACTTCAGTACGGGGCTGTCTCTTCATAAGAAATATGATGTCATGGGGTATGTATTAATTCATATACGGTGAAAAGGTTAAACCTGCCTGTTTTTAAATACGTCATAGGGAAATCCTCTTCATTAAAGAAACGAATCCAAGATCATTTGGCGTAATCGCTTTTTATGTCAATTTGTCTCTCCTAGCGAAGGGTACATTTCAGCTATATTCCAACTGTATACCAATGACTGATAACAAATTTCTTTTTGAATCAGTAATATATTTATGCCAGAAGAGTTGCAGATCCCTAACGAAGTGACGTATCAGCCTCATAGATGTTTGTTTATTCTGTGTAGATTTGTTGCAAAATGCTGCTTTTTTCTATTGTTCTTTCATTTAAATGGTGCATATGTTTACAGCACCCTTGCAAAACGTGGAATTTCACCCTCTCGATCAAAGACTTATGACGTGAGTAAAACTCTACATAATTCTGACTTATTTATCTTTTAATGATAAGTAGTTTCCCCTGGTTTTTGCAATATCATGACGTTTCTGAATTCTTATTCCGAGTTTCAAGGTACAGGTATGTCTATACTGCATTTAGAACTCTCCAACAGACCGCTAAATGTAATTTTCTTTATTTTACTATCATTATCCTTCTATAGAGCTACACTCATTTTTTTATAAGAAACTGGCTATAAGAAACGAGTACTGGACAGTCGGAAAAAATTAAGAAACTCAGTACTCGAAGCAAATGAATTAAGAAACTATTAAATCGTGATAAAACTGAGAACAACGAAATTTTGTAAAATCCGAGAACAAGATTGCCCTGTTAGCCTAGAACTTAAGACACAAGGGATAAAAATATACTTCCCACATCTAAATACAGAGTCAGAACGGAAGCCAATCTCTTGACGTGATAAAAAAGGTCACAAACATTTCATAGCATCATTCATGATATCATAATTAAGAAACTCTTAAGAAACAATGAGTTTTGAAATTTCCTGAACATTAAGACACTGGAGTACTCAACATCGACCTTTGTTTCTTATAAAAAAAATGAGTGTAGACACTGAGACTGTTGCAATCAGGCATTTTTATTTTTCATTAGCTCACTGATGTTGTCGGAGTTCTTCAAGATGAATTTGGATATTCTGTGTGTATTGGCTGTGTTTACAATCAGGTATCTGTCATATCTTATTCAAGTGGTTAGCATTTAAGGTTACGGTAAACGTTTTCTGGATGAAAACATCCATTTTTCGATTATTTCACATTCAAGTAGCCGAACCTTCAAGACACACAATGACACCAAATTTGAAACTAACTTTGCAGACATTTTGAAAATGGAAAAGATCCCATGTAAACGAAGGTTTACATAATTTCTTTATCAGAACTTTTAGTTGAGGCCTGGAAATCTTTTAACCTGTTAAGCCAATTATCATTGCTTTGCGGTTGTGGTCGCATGTCTCATTTACAATATCGCATGGCACATCTATGTATCCAATGTACGGCCGTGTTTATTTAAACAGGCTTATTGATCTTAAATCTTCAAGTGACTTGACCCGGATTACACTGTGGTTTACGAGTGTATCTTGCAAGTGCGATCAGTAAAATCCCGTTTCCCCCGGACTTGCAATTCCTCTACATACAGGTACGAAAAAGCTATTTTGTAACCAAGGAACCAATCGAATGGCTCAAAACTTTGCACACGGCCAGGACAGATGTCGGGTAACCAAAGAGTGCCTCAAAATTTTTGTATTTGCTCTGGTCCATCTTTTATAGCCCAATACAGCAATGAGAGGGAAGAAAAATTGTTTGCCAATTATTGGCATGGTATAGTTTCAAAGGAAGAAGGAATTTGAAAAATCGGAGACATAGTTCGGTAGCTAAGGATCTGCGCTTCCTTGCATGGACTCTTTTTGCAAATATTCGGGAACTTAAAATTATCTGACTCGTGCTGTGAATGTAAAAACCCGATTAAACCGTGATTATTTTTCCCTTCTTATTTGATTGGGTAGCTTCTAATATTATTGTTGGATACCATACTGAACTTGGCATGAGCTGTGAACGAGCAAAAGAACATAGTATATTACCGATAAAGATGATGTCTTTGTTAATTAAAACATGTACAGTTACTTAATTTCTACATTTACAGCTTACTGTTATTATTTTCATCAAGCTATGTCGCTAATATAACATTAAACTACAAAATGTATAAAAGATAAAAGCTTCAAAAGGTGCTCGTCACCGTAGTTCAGTGACGTCACTCAACGTGGCTTTAATATTTTCAAAGATATTACTTGCGAGGCATAATAATTTCACACCTGACGCAAAGGTAGTAAATAAGGGATCCACAATTATTGAGAAAATTCTTATTTACAAACAGTCTCAAGTTGGTTGGCAAAATGATCTTTCGAACCACAAAACTCCTAGCGCGTCAGAAGAATACCAAGCGGGAGCGGAAGCGCTCCACTCCTATCTTTTATTTCCGCGCTCAAATCTATGTGGCTCTGCTACCCAGGGTCGCCTTGAATATTATCAGAAATGGCAAAGATGAATTGTGAATTTCCTAAATTCATCTTTGTTTAAAATGCTTCATTTTTTTCTGCAGATAGGACACTCTTGTAAATGTTAACATTGCTTCTCGACCGTCTATTTTTCCTTGGTTTCTGACATGCCATAGGTTAGCGCGGATTGTCACTGGGTATGCCTCACTTGGAATGTTTCTTTTTCTTCTCCTTGTAATGTTTCCCATCTCTGCCATCGGCAGCTACCTCTCTACCCTTTATGATTAATTAAATTTTCTTCAAATCAATTATTTTGCAATTTGTCTATAATTTTCAGATCTCATTTTCAACACTTGTTATTTCTCATCTTTATCTCCGGGTTTCGCATGAACCTCCTCTTCGGGGCTTTTCTCGGCCACCCGTACGAGTCGTGTAGTTTTCCTTCTCTTTGCAACCATTTTTTCTTGTATCTTCTGCATTGGATGGACTTTCATTTGCGGAAGAACAACCTTGAGCTCGTCTGCAGCTTGTATTATACTTGACAATAACGAAGAAAGTAAGGAAAGGCCAATGATTAGGTTAAACCCTCTTACAAACATCATGAAAACCTCCTTTTGAGAGCTGAACTCATGTCCCTCGTTAGGAACGAGGTCTCCGAATCCGATTGTGGAGTAAACAATGAAACAGTAATAAATACCCTCTATATAAGACCAGTTCTCGGATACCTTGTACATAAGACCGCCCAGAAGGAGCACCGTGATGTTGAGAGCGGCCATGCCTGCGACCACTTTTAATTTGATATGTTTCAATTCCTGCCTGCGCAGCACCGTCTTTTCAAATTTTGACACCAGGTTGGTGAGTAATGAAGTGATTACGTCACCCATTACCTTTAGTGTCCATAAATTCAATGGTATTCCAACCAACGCATAAAATAACAGGATAATCCTGCCCGCATCCGTCTTCGGAGTCATGTGACCATACCCTGTAAAGACAATTAAGAGATATAGCTTATGCCAATGTTGAGAGACTTTTATCGTTAAAATTAGGTTTGGCAATTGGCTTTTACACGCAGTGTCACGTGAATCCAATATTGCTCTAGATACATACGTTTGTAGACTAAATACACTTCAAAGTTTTCAATGCTAAATTTTCAATGCAAAAGTTCCAATGACAAATTTGCTGAAACTTCTTGCATCGCTGAATCTTTCATAACTGTACGCTTTATTACAGTTCTCTCTTCTGTCACCCAGCTTCCCTTTCTCTGCATGTTTGTAGTTAATAACCCAAACTGGGTACTAATTAATGATCTTGTTTGCTCGCGGATGAGCTAATTACTTCAATGTAGTTCTTCCTACTCAATCTTGCATTGGTTCCTTGCTCATTTTTCTAAAGACTCGATCATTTGCTGAACAGATTAAACTCTATGTGGATGTTTGCTTTCTTTTTCAACTCTAATGCTTTCTTGCAAAGCTTGATAGGATTTTGCCATCTTAATTGCTGTAAAGCAAGTCCATTGAAGGGATCGGAACCTAATCGCGATATATGCTTTATTGACGTTGCATCGACCATCTGCAATACAATTCATGAGCTTTTAATCAGGGATTTTAATAAAAAATCAAGAATTCACTTCAGTTCAGCCATCATGCCGAAATCTTCATTGAAACACGATCTTGAATGCGCACATAATCCAAAGGGTTTCATTTTCGCGCGCTTGATTGAAAGCTGCATACCTTAATAATTCGAATAACTCCGCAAGGGGAGGGGACTGGTTCTTTCTCTAAACTTGACGCTAGCGGGGGAGCCAACCCAAGACTGGGGCTTTTTTAGGGGCAAGGTTATTCAAACATGACATTCTTTAGCGACTATCTATTTGATACACCTAATATGTTTACGAAACAATAAGATTTATTACCCAAAAAACTGCATAACATTCAACTGGTTGAAAAGGTTTCGTATGAAATCATGGTTTTATGGAAAAAACCTTGTGACAAAGTTGTTATATAGCGTTTTCTTTTTAAAAATCTAATTGCTCAGAAAAGGGGGCTTGTTCGAGACGGGGGCTAATTCGAGAGGAAGGCTTTCACAAATTATCACATTACATAACAAATATGATATTTTGCTATTCTAAGTTGTTTTCATTTTGTCTTGCTATCTTCGATGTAGCATCAAAAAATTATTTTTGGGCTGTATGCTTAGCTATGCTGAGAGATGAATATTTTCTAAAGCAAGGAACCCCTTCTGATATTTATGAATTATTTACACAAAGTTTATAAGCTAAAAAAGCGGTGAAAACTAGAGGTGGCTAGTCTTTTTTGAGTGTTGTAGATTCGAAACTTTCATGTTATGTTGTCAATGATGGAAAACCATTTTTAAAGCCAATTACTTGAAAGATTATATTTTGTGTTTATTTGGCACTGAAGTTCCGTCACTCAAATAAAGACAAAGGCAGCGCTAAATATGTCGTGCAACGTTATCTTGTAAAGACATTAAGTGTGGAAGTAAAGAAAGGCATGAAGAACAATGATTGAATATTTTGACTTGGAAAAGAGAGAAGCTTCAAAGGGCAACCTACCAATAGTCGTGACAACAGATCCGCAAAAATACATTGATGAGTAAAATGTCCATTTGGACTCGTAGTGTGTCAATTTGTATACAAGTTGGATTTCTGTAACAATCCGATCGAATTCCTTCCGAGTCAAATTATCTTTTGCGCGTAACTGGTGAAATATTTCGGTCATTTTGCTTTCCCCTGTGTTCCTACCATTTTCAGTTGCTTGAAAGATGAACCCACCAACCATGAGATAGAAGCAAAAGCCAGCAAGCAACGCAATGAGTTGCTTTGCGTTCCTTTTCTTCATGCTATTGCTACCCCATCTATGAATTGAGACCGAAAAAACTCGCTAGAACTGTCATCTACACCCTTGCCTTGTTGTGTGTTAGCTCTCTACTGCGTTGCTCTATTGCGACTCCAGATCATCCAACCAAATAATCGTTTCGATACAGCCGCTAGTCCATCTTCACATCCTCTCAATTCACGCTCGGAACGAGTTACTTCTGTCCTCTTAATACCCGTTTCTAGGCAACCCTATATAATTCCTTCTTTATATTTAACTTCCAAATCCTTACAGCTTTCTTTTGTCTTTATCGCGATAATCGTTTCAATCGGTTCTTTTCATCCAAAAAAGTTTTTAACATCGAAAAGTGATTCATTTGCAGCAAACGATTAAATGTCCCTGGAGTAATTATCTGCTGCCATTTTCTAATTTTGATGAACCCTATAGCGTCAAACGACGCTAAAACCAGTGTTTCGCCGTCCCAACATTGTTTCAGGTCAATGCAAATAGCGAGATGAAAAGCTCAACATTGCAGTTCTGTTTCGAATGACATTTACAGTCTTCGCCGTTATATTACAAATATTTACCCTCCCAACATTGATGTCTGATGAACAATTTTCGCTTATTTAAATTTTCTCTAAAAGCTAACTCTCTTGTTGCCGTCTTCCTGAAGTTATTAAAATGCTTTTATTTATTGAAAAAAGATTGAATTCAATTTTGACATATAAGGTTGGATCATTTGTTGGTATTGTAAGGATCTTCAATTTTCAAATGGAGTTTTTAGCATTTTGTTTTTGGTATAAATTTCGCATAAAGAAAAAGATCCAAAAATAAAGTCAATTATGCTAAAATCTTATAAGTAGTTTCTTCCGTACAATTAAGATAAAAATAATAGGCGAAAAATTAGTTTGTTGTTTCCTTTTTTCATTTCGTTTTTTTTTAAGAAATCTTGTCTATAGTCCGAAAAACTTTTAATATTTTGAACCTTTATCAACCACGCGTGGCATCGTCCCTTAAAATGAGCAACTTCATTTTGATTTCTTCCTTTTCTAATCTCTATATCGGAATAGGCTTTTGAAATTGTTGCCGTTGTGAAGCTCCCATTATGTTCGCAGGCGTTCCCAGGCTCCTTATCTTATTCTAAACTATCATGGTAGGTCAACCTCGCTATCATAGACACACTGTGTTTCAAGCTTTTGCCTCTGGTTGCTGCAATCCAATCTCAAAACTTTCACATGTCATACTTGTTTAATATTGTGGTCCTGACCACGTACACCCATGTTTGTCACCTGCTATCCATTTTTATCTCCTTTCACGCAACTTTTTGTGCTTCCATGTACCACTGTACTAGTAAATTCCTGGTTTGCTCCAACTGTGGGATTGTTTGAAGAAAAGAGTATATCTAAATAATTTCTGTTGTGTGTCAATGTTTCCTCTCTGGGTATATTTTTAGATTAAAAAAGGCCTTGGCTCATAACAATTTGCTTGAAGAATAGATATATGAATTTTCTACCAACCAATTGCTGTCAATCGGACTGAAGAAAATCATCATCATTTTCTTCGTCAGATTCATATCACTCGCATAATATCCACCCTCCACCTCAAGAAGTATAAATCTAATTAACATCTTAATTCGATATGCTATGTTTTCCTGTGAAATGTCTAATCAGAGAAATATAATTATGTGTTTTGCTAATATGGGTATAACTGAAATATTTACACCTACCTATTGTCGTCACAACAGATCCACAAAAATAAAATGCACTGTAAAATGACCAGGAGGTTTCTCCAAAATGAGAAATCTTAAAAACATCTTCGATTTCACTTTTCGTGATGCTCACAAATCTGTCAAAGGATAAGCTGCCATTTCCAATGTCATATTTGTTGTAGATCTCTCTAAGTGCCTCGTCAGTTTTATCCGGTTTGTCCTCCACTTTCCAAAATATCACTGCACCAATTACCAGGTACACGAAAAATACTGCTAGAAGAATCAAGACTTTCCTTTTGTGCCAAGCCATTTTGGCTCTCTGTCCTTCTTTGAAGTGATTCAAATTTTCAGCTGTGCTTCATTGTAATACGCACAGTTCTGCTTGTGTTGTGTTAACCAATTTCAATGCCTGAAAGTAAGAAAGACCTCTCTTACAAAACACTACAGTGCAATCGATGACACCAAATTCACATAATTAATGCTAGCTGCTTTTTGGCATTTAATGTCCTGATATTGAGAACTTTTTTCGGGTCTAAATTTTAATCAAGAACTTGATTGAAACATGTGCTTGGATTTTTCTTCCTATGATGTCACATTAGTTAGATTTCCTGTATTTATTTCTTCAATTTATGCGTGGTTCTGTATTCTCGGTTTTTCTGATTTAGGCGCTTGCCGCATTATAAATATGTTTGCAGTCTTAATGATTTCCTGTCATAAACACTGACTGCAAGGCCAAACAATGACGTTCTTTTTAAAGTTTCTACAAATTTCAAACAAGCATTGTAAAAGCGCAACACCACCCCGGTCTTATTTGTTAGTAATTACCTGCAAAGCTGGGAATGATCATGGTTTTTACTGATTTAAGCTTAGTTGTAGATTTTGTAGATGAATGAAAACCACTGCCATTGCTTTCAATTCTACATTAATTCTATGTAAACATTAGAAGAATGTTTGAGTAACTGAAGAATGGCAAGGATACAAATTTAGAAATGACAGGAGGTACTAAATCAGATAATATGAATAATAGTGGCAGTGCCTATATTTAGGTTGGTTGTCATGAGATGGAAGTATTTGATGTTTCTGTTGGCAGCTGGGAAACCTTGTCGTGTCGTGTCTCTTTTCGTTTTTGCATCTAGATATACTTTGTGCTCCTTCTATCAGCCTTTTTCTAAAACGTTGATTTGAAAGATCACAGATGCAGGTTGAAGTGAAAGCAACAAAGATAACTTTCAAACTGTCCTAATGGGTTTGATGTGTTCAAGGCACCGAGAACGATTGTTTTTCAATGTAGTCAAGATTGTTGATAAGCTGCATAAGTGACAGGCACGCCGGAGCAAGGGGGAGGTAGCCAGGGGGGAGGTAGCCAGGGGGAGGTAGCCAGGGGGAGGTAGCCAGAGGGAGGTAGCCAGGGGGAGGTAGGCTAAACTTATCATCAAGGCATCAATAATTTTTTACGATAACTCTTCAGTTCTGTAGATTACACAAGCATTTTCTTTAAAGCGTAGCTAGAATTCTATATAATGTGATTATTTTGCTGTAATAATTTTGGATTTATTGTAGTTCCACCTTGATGTCTAATCGACATAATATTGCAAAATTTTCTAATAGTTTAAACTTCATTGATAAACTTGATAAGTAATAGACAGGGCATATAGCCTGACAATCTGACATTCAAGCTAATGTTTGCTTTCTCAACAGATTTTGTAGTAGGGAGTCCAGGCTTTCATAATCTGCCAGGTGACTTTTTTTGAAAGTGTATGGGTTTCAGGTGACTGATGACGTCATTTAAGGGTAAAAAGTCAGACAAAATCATCGCTAGCTCTTTACTGGAGTGTTATTTTTTTACATATCGTGACTCGTCTCGTTGCAAATTTTCAATTGATGCATATATAAGCATGATTTGCCGCCATCAGAATTTTCATTATAACGTCATCAAAATTTTGCATGACGTCATCAAAGATCTTATTGTCATTAAATGACACGTTGGCATAACTTTGTATTAATATGAGGCTGGATGTCAGCAAAAGCATTCCCTCCATAATTTTTTCAATCAAATAATTAGTATTTAGATCATTTAAATTACGTTTGTGCGAACTGCAGTAGCCAAAGTTCGAATAAGTAGTGCTATCTGACGAGTCAGTCACTTCTTCCTCCGTAGTTGCAAAGTCTTGCTCCCACTCTGAACCGGACAATAAGTTCTTTGCATCTTCATTTGACTGTTGCACTAAGTCGCGAGAATGTCTTGGAACTATAGGCTATCCAAGATGCCCTCGCGCTGGGCTGAAGGTACATGACTTTCTTCAATAAGACTATCTTTTGCTGCGAAATATGACCATCTCATCAATACTCCATCTGGCGTTTTCTGCTGGTGGATTTACATATGGATTTGACTCCTTGCACATGAAAGTAAAAGAGAAACCTTCATTTCCTTGTCACAGTACACCTTCAGGAGTTGCAAGATTAGTGCTATGGTTTTGATGAGATGTGCAAATGCCTTTTCGATAGAGACAGCCTTGCCAGTCTCGAAAGCTTGGTGGTCTTCGTTCATTATTGAGACTGCTTTCGTTTTCTTGGATTTTTGTGGGCACAACAAAGTAGAAGTGAGTCATCAAGGCAAGTGCATAAAAAAGTTTAGAACAAAAGATACTCCAAGGTAAAAAGGGTTTTTTACAATGATGCAAACAAAGGGGATCTAATTAAACTTGCGATTTCCAAGCACCGAGGGTCACAGGCTCCAGAAAATTCCATTGGTTATAATTTACGAACAAGAGGCATGGGAGACTTTAAAAGCAAATAGAAGTCCTTCCTAGATGTAACCACAAAAAGGCTGAAACCAGAATTATTTTGCATGCTAACTCGAAAGATGCAAAAGTAGTTGTTGTTGCGAAGGATACTGATGTATTTGTGCTGCTTGTTCATGCAATGCAGAAGTGCAAACCCACAAATGAGTGGTTTATGGCATAAACAACAAGGAAATCGTCAAGATTTGAGGCATCGCTGAAACTTTTGGTTCCAAAATTTGCCGTGTTCTCCCACAGATCCATGGAATTATGGGCTGAGACTCTCAGAAAGAGTTATCGCAGACGCAAAGACATTCACGAAACTGTAGAACATAGTGGAACACTATATTAAAGCCGCTTAGAGACAAGGATTCGTATTTATCAAATCTGAAAACAGAATCATCTGCAGCAGCTCCACAGATCCACAATCATTCAATCAGAGAAGAATTAAATTGTGTCAACTTAACAAGGTTATTTTGGTTACAGTGTTTAGATGCACTTGCTACAAGACATGTCCCAAAAGCCTGCAGTTGAAATTCAGGCGACATACTTGATCGTTTAAAGTCTGAATGATCCACAAGAAAGCAGCTTCCCCATCTCAAAAGAAGTCAAAAAGACATCCAAGATGTGAAAAGAAAGCTTTCTTTACAGCACAAGGATATGAAGATGACAAAGGAGATGAATTTACCCATTAAGAAAATCATGCACCTTCATACCCAGCGCTAAAGACCTATAGTGCGAAGACATCTTGGACAGCCTATAATAGTGCGAAGACATTCTTCTGACTCAGTGCAACAGTCAATAATGACTTCCGAGGAAGAATTCGCTCACTCGTCAGATAGAACTACCCTATTCGAGCTTCCTTGGCTATTGCGGTTCGCACAAATTTACTTTAAATGATCTAAATACTAATTATTTGGATGAAAAAATTATGGAAGAAATGCTTTTGCTGACATCCAGCGTCATAATAAAACAAAGTTATGCCAACGTATCATTTTATGACAATAAGATCTTTGATGACGCCATGCAAAATTTTTGATGACTTCATAATGAAAATACTGATGTCGGCAAATCATGCTTAAATATACATCAATTGAAAGCTTGCAATGAGACGAGTCAAAGTATGTCATTTGCGACAAAAAATAACACTCCAGTAAAGAGCTAGCGATGATTTTGTCTGATTTTCTACCATTAAATGACGTCATCAGTCCCGTGACATCCAGGCATTTTCAAAAAAGTCACCTGGCAGATTATGAAAGCCTGGACTCCTTACTACAAGAATCTGTTGAGAAAGCAAACATTAGCTTGAATGTCAGATTGTCAGGCTATGTGTCCTGTCTATAAAGAAATTGTGATTTTTCGAGAGATGTACCTGTCCAATTTCGTACTTTACCGATCCACATTTTCTTTTTCGTGCTAATCCTGTTATGAAATTCTTGTGAAATCAGTTCAGTGCGTTTTAGAATAAAGTTATAGATTAAAGTAAATATACGATATTGATTAGTTGATTAATAGATTATATTGATGTTGATTACTATGTGATCTAAAGCGCTAATGATTATCGTCCAATCAGCCCTTTCCAACATGACTAATCAACAACTTGTGCACCACGTTTTTATTCTGTCGTAAAATACTACACACAGGCGACTGACGATTAGCATTAACTTCTCTTATTTTAACGTAGGAACACGCTTTCGTATTTACCAACTATTCCTTTTCTGTTTTGTAAACTTTAAGCAAACATTGTTTTCTTTACAAAACATGTTCTAACCGAATCACATATAGACTAAGAATCTTTTTGCATAAAATGTATACTTCTTAACTGAAAGCAGAGTTACAGCAGTTAAAATGATATAATTGAACTCACCCTTTTTAATCTAAATTTTCGAGCCAATATTTTAGTTTAGAGTGTTTTTGTATCACTTCACTTGTTGATAACTACTATCAGCTCGCAAGGTTTCAGTAAAACCTACAGCATTTGCTGTACTGGTGTTGTATACAATTTGAGCATATTGCAGACAATTGAATATCAAAACAATCTATGATCTTACTTCTGCTGTATTCATTTGCATTGAGTTTTTTTATTGACTTAGCTACCTTTGTTTCCTACAAATTTGTCGGGATACTTTTCGAGCAAAGAATCCAATCAATCGCAGCTGACTGTACTCATTACACAAAATTTCCATAGAGAAATCTGTAACAAAGATCTACTATTGTTTTAGTCTGGTTGTGTTTATTTTTGCCAGAATATTGCAAGTAGGCTGCCATGACAGGTCGTCTCTCCTCTGTCTTTCATCATGACGTACGTGTCAAACTGCCGTGTTCTTTTCAATAACCTTTACATGCTTAGACCCAAGGTATCAATTTGTGTTGTTTCCATATACTTTCTCTAAGCATCGAATCCACCCTGTCGAATCTACGCATGCGCTTTTTCAGAGTTCCTTGGTTACAGAGGATAGAAGACTTAGACCCCCCTCACATGAACAATTTCAGGCCGGTCTGAAACTCAGATCAGCTTGAAATTTGATGGTGCGTGCTAATTTGACTCCCGCTCACATGAACATTTTCAAACCGGTTTGAAATTTAACAGGCCTTCGTACATC